GCTGGATTGAGCTGGAGAGGGTTTGGTTAGGGTTCTTCATGATTTCTTCATGATTTCCATGGAATAATGGTTAATACTTGATTTTATTGCTTAAAATATTGTTTTTGGATATTATTTATGCTTTACAATGGTTTGAACTCATGTAATTTGGATTGGATTCATGATTGGAAGGAATTTTTAAGGTTTTCGAGGGTTTCTGGTTGTAATTGCGTCGGGCGCAGTTCTTGGCGCTGGGCGTGAATTCATCAGAGACCATCATTGCCAAATCACGCCGGGCGCGAGTTTAGTCACGCCAGGCTCAATTTGGTTACTGATATTGCGTCGGGCGCAGAATAATTGCACCGGGCGCAATGACCTCTATAGGTCTCTATTTGAGTTTTGTGCCGGGCTGGATATTAGTGCGCCGAGCGTGAATATGTTGGTCTTCAAGTCTTCATGAAAGTTGTAGCCTTGGATGTTATCTTTCCAATGGCGTTGGAATCACCCAAAAAAAAGAGGTCTAGAACTCAAGATATGACTGTTTTAGTGAACAGGGGTCAAGTTGCCAGCATTGGTTATAACTGTTTCGGTTTTTAGAATTTTTAACAAAGTAGATGATGGAATTAGGACTTGATGTATTCATAAGAGTTGTAGGAAATCTTCTTACCTTTCATATGAGATAAAGATGAGCATGATATGAGTAGTATAACTCTTGATATTCTGTTTTATGTGAAGATTGTCATTTCACAAAGGGTAATTTGGTTAAGTTGATAGTTGTTTTGGGTGTTTACTTAATTATGTTGTTATATTGAGTAATTTGGCATGGTTATGGAAAAGTTTGCATGTAATTATGAAATATGCTATGTGTGTTTGGTTTGGAAAGCTAATAGGACTTAGAGGAGTAAGGTTATGGTATGGATTGAGAGATTTCTTGGTGAGATCAGGATATAATCTTTGGGAAAATATGGAATTTGAGAGTCCCATGGTGAGGATTCCAATATGGAACTTTTCCAAATATTATATAATAAACCACTTCAGATGTTAGGTGGATTCTGAAATACTCCTCTAAGTATTCTATTTGCTACCGGTATGGGGGCAAGGCCGAGTCATACCGATGGATGAAGTGGCCATGATCACCAGGGTTACGTGACGACGTAACCCAACTGTATATTTTTCATGAGAGGTGAGGTGTGTGACATGGGCAGGTGACATGTTCACAAATTCAACACTTGGTTTTGATGTGTTGAGGCCAACATTTGGTTTGGATGTGTTGACTACTTCATGGGATTATACAGTGTTGTGACTTTGGTTTGGATGTGGAATATGTATGCATTTGGTATGGATTGTATACATTGGTTATGGATTCTTTATTATCATAGAATATATATGTATTGACATGGATGTGTATACATTAGATTTTGGATTGGTTTATATTTGGCATGGAAATGACTTGTTATAATGTTGTCATTCCCTTGGTATGGATACATACTGTTGATGAATATCTAGTTTACTGATATTTCATTATGTTGTACTATGGTTGGTTTTATACGTGCTAACCCTTATATTTCCATGATATGGACTGTGATGATCTCACTATGTGGAGGAGCAGATCAGGTGTGAGGCTTTGGGATACAAGGAGTCTTTTGGTAGCTGCTTTGAGAAGTGGCTAGGCTTAGAGCTTGACCAACACCTAGGGTGTCTTATTTTGATGTTTTCATGATGTTGTACATTCATTATCTTTTTGGATGACTGTATAACCCTACGAATGATGACTATTTTATAAAATTATGTTTTATATTATGGAAATAATTTATATGTTATTGTATATTTATACTCTAGTGTAGCTGGCCTTTGCTCTATTTTCTTTATTATATATTATTTTATTTTAGTTGTCATATTGGTTATTGATGTGATGGCCTATGGCGGGTCGTTACATTTAAAGGTGTAAGTTGTGACAATTTATTACCTTAAAGTCCTTATTTAAATTCAAAATATAATTAAATATCAAAAGGTAGTATCATAATATTCAATATAAATATTTGAAGTCATTATATCGAAATTTTATTAGAGGAATGATTAATTAGATGTGACATTTTTTTAACCTTTGAATTTAAGATACAAGTTGTGACAACTTGATATCTTTAAATTTTTCTCCAAAATAAAAATATCCAACCAAAAATATTTTAAGTATGTACCATAATGTTGGGATGCAAGCAAAGTCCCATATCGTTCAAACAAGAGGATGGACATGGGTTTATATACACACAGTTGTCTCTATTGGTTGAGAGGCCTTTTGTGTGATGTCCAAAAACAAAACCGTGAGGGCTTGGGCCCAAAGCGGACAATATCTCACCAATGTGGAGACATGTGTATATGTGTGGTAACCCCCCTGTGCACAACAAGTGGTATCAGAGCCGATGGTTTGATCAGGTGACCAGCTCGACAAGTATGATGGCTGGCAGGTGGATCCAAGTTTGGAATCTGTGTCGAAAGTCTTCCTAACGGTGGGTCCATGTGGAAGAGAGGCTTCCCAGTGACATGGAGGGTTAGGAGGGCGTGTCCCGCTGTCATGAGGGAGGTCATGATGGAGCGGTGGTGCAGACACTCTGAGGGTGAGTGAGCTCTGTGGGACCACCATCGGATAATACTCGTAGTTTCCGCTGCAGGGGAGGGAAAACCGTGGTCCTTTGTTTGAGAGGATGATTGTTGGGATGCAAGCAAAGTCCCACATCGTTCAAACAAGAGGATGGAAATGAGTTTATATACACACAGTTGTCTTCATTGGTTAAGAGGCCTTTTGGGTGATGTCCAAAAGCAAAATCGTGAGGGCTTGGTCCCAAAGCGGACAATATGTCACCAATGTGGAGACATGTGTATATGTGTGGTAACTCCCTGTGCACAACACATAGTAATAATAATATCGATGACAATAATTATAATTAAAACTAAATATTTTATTGAATTGACTTTGGTGTACACCTCAATCAATTTTATATTTTAAAATGAATGAGCTGAGACAGTTCATGAATCTTAAATTTAATAAAAAAAATATAATTAAATATATCAACACACAAATATTTTTTTACAAAAAACTACGTGACTCTGATTCTTCATTACACATGGAGATACGTAGGAACAAGAAATAAATATTGTCTAGCCAAAAACTAAAAAATAATATTATCTTCCCTTTTATATAAAATAATAATTTTAAATCTTTTTTAAAATTCATTAGTTAAATTAGTTAAATAAAATACATTTGATAATTACAGTTAATTAATTTAGGGTGAGATAAATATTTTATAAGTTATAAATAAATTGTTTAATTAATTAAAGGTAATTGTCTTAGGACGAAAGTTGTGAAATGCTAATACCTTCCTTACACGTAATCGACTCCTGAACTCAAAAATATAATTTTTGTAGATCATTTTCTATTTCGTGGTTTTTCTAATGTTTTTCAATAAAAATAAACATTAGTGGTGTCGCAACCGAGATCACAACGGGACGGCGAAAAATAAATTAAAAATAAGGAGTCGCCACCAATGTTATTTTTTTACGAAAAAACATTGGAAAAACCATAAAGTAGAAAATAATCTATGAAAACCATATTTTTGAGTTCGGGAGTCGATTACGTATGAAGAAGGTATTAACACCTCACAATGTTCGTCCTAAGATGATTACCTTTAATTAATTAAATAACTTAATTATAATTTATAAAATATTTATCTCACTAAAATGATCAAATATATTTTATTTAACTAATTTAACTAATGCATTAAAAAAGTTAAAATTATTATTGTTATATAAAAGGAAGATAATATATTTTTTATTTTTTTGGCTCGAAAAGATTTATTTCTTGCTCCTACGTATCTCCATGTGTAATGAAGAATCAGAGTCACGTAGTTCTTTGGTAGAAAATATTTATGTGTTGATATTTTTTAATATAGGATTCTTGAACTGTCTCAACTCATTCACCTTAAAAATATAAAATTGACTAAGGTGTACACCAAAGCCAATTCAATAAAATTTTAATTATGATTATTGCTATAGATATTATTATCTTAAAAGATTTTTTGGTTGGATATTTCATTTTGGAGGAAAATCTAAAAATATCAAGTTGTCACAACTTATACCTTAAATTTAAAGGTTAAAAAGATGTCACATCTAATTAACCATCCCTCAAATAAAATCTTTGATATAATAACTTTAAATATTTATGTTGAATATTGTGGTAATATTTTGATATTTAATTATATTTTAAATAAAAACTTTAAGATAACAAATTGTCACAACTTGCACCATTAAGTTCTAGAATCAAGAGAATGTTACATTCAAATAATTCCTTTTTAAAATGATAGTTATTATGAATATACATGTTGATAATAAATATCACGGTAATTATTATTACTATTATTATTATTATTATTATTGTTGTTATTATTATTGTAGTCTAAATGGATTAAAAATTATGTAAACGTCTAACACATTTATATAAAGAAACAACTTAATCACATAAAATCAACCAAACTAATTTTGTTAAAACAAGAAACAAATACCATCATCTAAGATTAGGAGAATGCCAAATTTAAATAATTTTTTTTTATTTTTCCTAAAAAAATAAATGTTATTAATATTTGATATAATAATAGTAATAATAATAATTATTATCCATATCTTTAAAGTAACACGAGAACTCAATATATGGATACAAATAAAGTAATTAATTTTGCTGTAAAATAAAATAAACTCTGCTAGTCATATTAATTGTTACGCATCTTGGAACAAGGAAAAGAAAAATTTGATTGAGTGGTATACTCATTGTTACGCATTTTGGAAAAAAAAAAAGAACAAAAAAGAAAAAAAATGATTGAACAATTTCAGGGATGTTTGTTTCTAAATGGGCTTTAGCCCACATGGTCCCAAAAACGGAAAAAAGAAAAGAAAGGAAACAGTGATATTGAACCACTTGAGCCCACACAAAAAAAAAAATAGACAAAAGAAACAGAAAGGGAAAAAACATAAATAAGTGGCATTAAGCCACATTTCACGCAGCAGTAGAGCAAAAAGGAGAAAAAGGTGAGTGGGACTAAAACCCTCGCATTAGGGTTACACAAGCCCTATGTGGCTTCTTTGGCTCCGTAATGGTGTCGGCCATTGACGTTGCGAAGGGGGAAAGAAGATGGCGGTAACGGAGTGGGTTGCGAATAAGGAGGAGGTTCATGGCAGCTTGACCCGCTTTGGCTTGCCGTGGCTGCGCACGACAAGTGCGTAAGGAAGAAGATGGACACGCATACCGCTGTCACCGAAAATCACCTTCGGTACCGCCGTCGCCGGAAATCGCCTCCAGTGGCGGCAAACGGCGGTGCACGGCTCACGGCGGCTTATTCATTTATATTTCCCTGGTAGTATTCATTAACCCCCTTTTTTATTTATTTTTATTTGTTTTCTATTATGACTAGGTTTTATTCGTTACAACCTTTAGGGCTTACTGAAGTTTTAGAAGAAAGGTTTCGATTCCATGATAAAAGATTCATAAAAAATTTGTTTTAATGATAGAAATAAAAAAATTCGGGAGAGTAATTGATACCCGCACTGCTTTAGCCTCTTCTTTGGCCTTATGCTTGAGCTTTCCCTGCTTGAAATTTGTTGTTGGCCTTTGTTCTCCGTTTCTCCTCTTTTCTGTCTCCCCCCATCTTATTCTTATCTTCTCCCCTTTATAGAAGAAACGTATACAAGCCAAAACATGCTGCAAAAAAAAATGCCATAGTTTGCAGTTTCGAGAATTATTTTTATGCATGGCACCAAAATCAGACTTTAACACTAACATAAAAACCTTACAGGATAAGGAAAAAAGTTATACTAGCTACAAAACACATTTGTTGATACGGAGGAAGATTTGGCTTCCCTATTTTGTCTTTTTCTAATTTTTATTATTTTTTATTTATTATTTATGGTTATTGTGTGTATTTTTTTTGTTTTAAATTTAGTTTGTAAATTATTAATTTAGAAAAATTAGTGTGATAAAATTGGTGTTTACAAGTGGCGACTTTATTGTTTTAAACTTTATATTCGTTGTCCCGTTGCGATCTCAGTTGTGACAAAGATGAGATAAAACATAAATCTAAATCAATGAAGAACTCTTCAAAGAAAACAAAAATTTCTAAATCTGGGCTATACTCAATGCCTTCTTACATAGATGCACCTATTGATTTTGAAGAATATGACCCAACAAATTTAATGTCTCACCCAATATGCTAAAAGGTAGCAAAAAGGAAGAACAAATCAAAAGTTTTTAAACCATGTTTTAACAAAAAAAATGAGTTAGGTAATATGGCACATGCAGTGGAAAAGAAAAATGATGCAATTAAACAATTGGCCGAAGTAAGGGAGGTAATGAATTTTAGTAAGATGTACGAAAGTCCTCACAAAGGACACACCTGGGATGATTGAAAGGCAACTCATAAATAATGAATTAACTTATAACTTTATTAGGCACAAGTTAGATAGTGATTGTTATTGTAATTTTATTTTAGTTGGTCCTTATTGCAAGTTAGGCTAAAAGTTATGAATTGTATATTTTTTTATTAGTTGTAAATTTTTTAGTAATTATGATTAAAAAATCAGTTTTTGTTAAAATAGTTATTATGAAATTTGTAACATTGTGTTGTGGTTGACTTGTTTATTTAAAGATTAAGGAATCCTTATAAGTTCTCTTTCTCCCTAATGTTGGGCACATGATGAGTGACGTCGGGGGTGAACAAGTTAAAATCTTCATGCCCTACTGACATCGGGCACATGAAGAATGGCGTCGAGTGTGAGTGATTCTAGAGTTCTTTGACTTGGTTACGTTGAACGTGGGATAAGTGGCACTAATCATAAGTAAATCAATGACTCTCTGCCTCATTGACCCTAAACGTAAGATGATTTGCATCGGGCGTGGATTACATAGAGACTCTATTTGATTTTTGTTAGGCGCAAAAGGATTAGTGATGGGTTTGAGTGAGCTAGAGGCTATTTGCCTCACTAGCGCCTGGTGCAGGATGAGTGATGTTGAGTGTGGATGCTAGGCACAAGTTGATCATGTTTGGCGCAAGAATGCTGAAAGAATATGAAAAATATGTTGTTGTGTGTTGTGTTGAAAATGCATGGGAAGTATTTATTATGTAGTATTGTGTTATGATATGCATGAGACATGTTGTGTTGAGTTATGTTGTCTTGTGCATGAGGCATTGTGTTAAGCCATGTTGTGATATGAATAAGTTATATTGTGTTGAGTTGTGTTGTGAATTTAAGATTAGAGGAGATGTTGTGTTAAAAGTTGAAGTATCCCATTGTATGGATATGTGTTGTGTTGCTGTAAGAGCCTAATTGTTGAAAACACTTCTTGAGAATAATTGTCTTTTGAAGTGGAATGTTGAGTCTTCTCCAAGTCCTTAGTTGATATCATATCATAACTAGGTCGAGCCATACTAGTTTATGAGCGGCCAATTTGAGTAAGGTATGAAGTAGATGGATAAAATCCTTAACTGATTACTAGAAAAATACATAGTATTTAGAGAGTAGTTGGCAGGTTAATTCCATTTAGGCTTAGTTGTTTCATACTAATGTCATGGTAGATCCACACCCAAGCTATTATACTCATAACAGTGGTACTGAACTTTCCTAATCTAAGTGGTGAAATTCAAGAAATCAGTGACGTTGTTTTAGGCATTGGTATGCCATCTATTGTGTTGACTTGACACTGGTATGCCAAATGTTGCTCACTTGATTTCCTTTTTAGGGATAAGAAACATTGTGATTCAATAAGGTTAAGCCACTTAGAATATTCAGCTGTGTTGTAAGAGATTTCTTAGTTGAAATACGTGACAATTTATAGAGTTATTGTGTTGTTAAGTTATTATACTGTAAGTTGTTGTATTGTTCATATGTTAAGTTGAAAATTGTGTTGTTCAGATGTTGAGTTGTTAAGTTGAAAATTTATGGTGTATTGTTAAACTAAGCCTTGGGTTGTTGTTGTGTTGTAAATATGATGAAGTTGTTTTATATACTTAGCTTATTTGCTTCTATATCATGTTGATTTCTTATTTATGACCTTACCCAAATGAATTTCCTTGCTGTTGAACTATGATGATCATATTTTATGGGAGCAGAGTAGGATTAGATCAGAAGATGAGAAAATTTTGAGTATCATGTTGGGGATAACAATGTTTTTGTTTGGTGTTGTTTTGAGGCAACATGTGCATAAAGTTGTTTGACTAGTAACAGTGTCTTTATGTTTTCAGTACCTTATATTAGATTTATATTTGTATATATGTATAGGGTTTTATTATAATTCCATAAGGAGCTTTATGTTTTCATGTTAAACTTGATAGGAACTATTTTATATTTTCTATATCCTATACATGTTTTTATTACATGAATGTACAAATATTGTTGCATGGTAACTTTAGTGTAGTTGAATTAATTATATTTTTTTATTGCGTAGTTGTTAAGTTATAAAGTGTAATGACCTAACATATTATTACAAAAATAGTCATTATGAAACTAGTCGTGATGAAACTTGCTATTGCAAAACAAGTTGTTATGCACAATAATATATAGTAGATTTATACTTGTTGTATCTTATTCTCGATTTTGTTTTTATCAAAACCTCCATTTTTTCTCTCCTTAACTTCACACTTAAGTTTGCTACATAATGGATTTAGACATTGAATTTGATACTTTTTAAAACCAAATTATAAATGAGGGACTTGAAGATAATACAGACGAAGAAATAATGAGGATAATACTCAAGATATAACAAAAATCTTACAACACCACTTGTTAAAGAATTTTTTTTAATGATGATAGATCAATATCATGAAGAGGGACACAATTGATAGTTCATAATTACTTCTCTAATAATATAGTTTATATAGATGCTCAATTTCAATGAAGGTTTTGAATATAAAGACATGTGTCCCTTCAAATTGTAGAAGCCCATGGTCATCATAATGAATATTTCTAGATGAAGGTTGTTGCAATTTAGGAAGGGTCTTTCACCGTTGCAGAAATGCATTATCGTTACTCCTACATTGGTATGCAGATCAAATAATATAGATGATTATGTTCGAATTTAGTAAAAATTTTGTTGTGAAGTGTTTAAAGAGATTTGTATAAGGTGCATGCACGATATTTAAAGATGAATACTCCAAAAGGCCTACCAATGAAGGTATTGGACGACTACTCCAAATGGGGAACACACATGGATTTTCTAAGTATGTTTGATTCTATTGATTGTATGCACTAAGAATGAAAGAAATTGTCCAATTACTTGAAAAAGACAATTTTGTTGAAGTGATGATGAGAAACCTACGATCACACTTGAAACTATGACATTACATTACATGTAGATTTGGCACTTCAAATTCAAATAATGACATTTATATGTCAAATGCATCAAATGTGTTTAATGGCATTTGGTTAGAAAATCTCATGTTGTGTAATATACAGTGAAGAAAACCAAATATCAACCAAATGGTATTTACCTGAAGTGGACTACATTGGTGAAGACCATCCCTATGTCATAAGAAGAAAAGATAAAATTATTTACTTAATGACAAGAATCAACAAGAAAATATTTGGAAGTGACCTTTGGAATGTTGTAATCTTGATTTGTAACTATTTGTGGTTCAACATGTGTTTGACATGTCAATTCTTTGAAGAATTGATAATGTTAATTTATACTTATAATTATTGGTCATTTTATATTTTATTATATCAATTTTCTTTTAGCTTTTAACTAGCTCAGTCCTTATTTTAATGATTTTTAGTAATTAATTGGAATGCGATTACCATTAATTGTACAAGAAATGACACATGGAAGTGAAGTAAGAAGAATTATTGAAGGCCATGTCGAAGATTACACAATGCTAGATGTCATCAATCTTGGCAAAAAAAACCTTTGTCTCGTTCTTACTGGGCGCACCTCTACCCACACTTGGCTTGACCCTTGTAGAGAAGTTTTTTTTCTTATTTGTGTGCCTATGCCCAATGTATGTTAGCCTACATGAGGCGTCATTTTTATTACATGATACTTTTGGAACGTTTTATTCTTCTCTTTGATGGTTTGAGGACACTTTTCATCATTTTGAAGCTAGGATGAGTTTGGAGACTTCCTAAGGCTGCTAGGGTTTTTACATCACTTCCAAGCTCTCCTCTCCACCTTCCATGATCCCCTTCGTTTTCTTTTTTACACTCTTTGTGACAATGAGGAGCTAATTTCATCATTGTTGAGATTAGATGTAACCAACCAAACTCTCATGTAACTTATATTAATTATATATGCATGTGGGTGTGTGCACATGTGTGTCTTTCCATTTCAATGTTAGTATTTTGTTTCTAATCTTAATGCTTGTCGTGAATTGATCAATCATAACTTAATATTTGATTTATTAGTTATTGAAAAATACCTTTTGTAAATTTAGACTGGAACAAAATACCTAATGGAGCTTATATCTAGGAACAAAACTTGACCCATTGGTTGTTTTAAATCATTTTTATTGATGCAAGTCCAATTATTAAGTATTTAAGGGATTCTTAATAAGGAAACTTAGCTCTTTCCTCTAAAATATTAGGTTTTAAGTAAACTAGTTGGTTGAAATTAACATTAAATGTGAAAAAAGATTTAAGTGTTTTTAAATACAAGAAAGTGAGGTATGGTGAAGTCCATTCCCAACATTAACATATCATTTCATTTCTTATTTAAACCGCCTTCTAAGTGTTTACTAAAAATACCAAAAGGAACTCTACCTTTTTTTATATATAGTTTTTATTAGTGAGGTTAAGTGAAGTTTAATTTCAACATTAACATATCATTTCATTTCTTATCTAAATTGCCTTCTAAGTGTTTATAAAAAAAATACCAAAAAGAAATTTACCTTTATTTTACATAGTTTTTATTTCTTTTATTAATCAATATCATTTAATAAAATATTCTTTAGTTTAAATTAGTTATTGAATGTATTTATTGTCGTGTATTGTATAGGTCATTTGGGAGACAATATTTACTTATCATTAACTACTTGTGCAACTGATACGCTTGCCAAAAATACCCTAACAAGAGTATAATGTATGTATGCATCATATTACATAACATAATTCTTGAAGATGGAAGAACAATATAAATTATGAATATGATAATAAAGGTAAAAATGTCTTGACTATTAATGCATCTAATGGTTCTCATCCTATTTCTTTTGGTAATAAAAAGAGGACACATCTTCATGATAGACAATAATACCAACAATTTCAAAATGACTTTGTAGAACATATTTGACAATGTTTCAAACTTGAGAATCACAAAAAATATTTTATATTTATTGTTCTAAATAATTTATCATTATGTATTTTTCATCATTATGTAATTTCTTTATTTTAATATTTTATTTTATACACATTAAAATAATTATGTGAATTTTATTATTGATTTTTTTATACATATTAAAATATTATTTATCATGTTTAATTAACTTTATATTTAATTATAATAATTAAAATATTGTAAAAAATGAAGTGTAAATAAAAAATTATAAAAGTATAGATCATTTATAAGATTTTACATTGGAACAAAATTTATAAAATATAAGTGATGCAATATGGTAAGTCTCATTTAAAGTGGAATAAAAACATTGGTGAGTTGCTTGTACAACTAACACTGGAAATAAAATTGTCAAAATAGACTTGATTTGATTAACCCGATAAATGTGACATGTTGGATTGCAAAAAAAATTAGGGCCAAATGTCATTTTGCCTTAACCTGACTCAAATTTTTAATAACTCAAATTGGACTTCTTCATGATGAATTAGGTTAACCTATGGTTCAAATTTAATTATTAATATTATCTATAATTATTACGATAATAAATGGTAAATTTAGTATTATATATATTGTTAATGTCATTTTAAAGTTAATATTTTATGCCTATTAAGTTTTTTTTTATAATTTTTTTAACATTTACGTATTCTCACATAGTTAATATACTTTATTTTATTTATATTATTATGCATTATAATTTGCTATTTTATAATATAAATCTACATTTTCTTATTTTAGTTTATAGTAATAAAAAAATATTTTATTAACTTATTATTAAAAAAGCTAATTTACTTAAATACTTTTTTACTTTAAAAATTTGATTGGTCCATGAGTTGATCAGTTTAGCTTGCGACTATGGATTGAGTTGGACAAAACAAAATTTAGCCTTATAACATCTCTGTTCTTATTTGTAAAACTCAATTTAAAACAATTGTTTGTTTTTTTATATAAGGCTCAATTCATTCGGTCTCATATACTAATTATTTTTATACTAATTAAAATGTGTTCTCTTAATTTGATAAGTCATATTAATTATAATCTCTTAAAAAAATATGCACTCTAATTAATTAAAAGGAAGATGAGTATTACTTATGAGAGATAAATAGTATAAGACATAATTGGTTAAAAGATATATGAATATCAATTAGAAAAAAAATAGTATAAGGGTAGTTTTAGAAAAAAAATATATAAATAAGACATATTTATTATCAACTAAATTAACTACCTTTATTAATCTTGATAATGTAGATAATTTGATCTTCTTTATAAAAACAAAGCTAATATCAAATTCTCTTAGTCCAACTAACTTAAAAATGTGTAAGGATGATAAAACGAGTTATGACTTGTAGGTTAACCTGTTGACTTTTCAAAAATTTGGTGTGTTGAGTTAGACATCTTGGCCCCCCATCTCGCTTGGCCTACTAGCTCGTCATGCCAAATGGCTAATGACAGAAGTGGGTTGACTCATCTGATTATTTATTTATCATTATTATTATTATCTTATTTTTAATGTTAAGTTTAAATAAATCACATAAAATAATTAAAAATTATTATATTATTATTATATATTTATTTTATTATGTAGTAAATCAAATTAAATTTATTATAATTTAATAATTATTTTATTATTTAAATACATTAATTTATGTGAGTCTTTTTAAATATTAAAAAGAAATATGTAAAAAAAAAAATATCTGACCCACTTTCACCTAACAAGTCATTCTAACTTGATCTTATTTTTGGTCAAATCAAATCAAATTGATCCACTTTTCAATCCCTAAAAACGTGTTGGCATGTGATGGACTAATGGAAAAAAAAATTCAAATCGACAACTTTAATTACATATACTCGTATAAAATGTATTCCAATATATTAAAAAAAAAACTAGAAATAAGTTCACATTTTTCAAATAAAAATAAAATCACGAAACCTTTTCTAACTTTATCCCATCTACCATGTACCAATAAAACATCCCCATCTACCATTTTTACGTGGGTGTCACAACTCACAAGATCATTCCACTTTCCATATCCATATCCCATAATCCAAACACAAAATACCTAGCCCCCGTTTTTGTCTTGTGCCAAATTCTGAATAACCAAGGTTGTCCAAATTCACCTTTTCTTCCCAAACTTCTCCAATTCTTAATTTCCATTGCCAAGGCTTCAGATTTGGCTCTTTACAACAACATCACTGTGGCCATGGCTACAGTGTCAGCAGTGGTGTCTTCTTCCCCCACGGGTCACCCCCCTCGTTCCTTTTCAAACCCCACCACATCACTCCCTTTCAAAACCACTTCCATCACAAGATCAGAAACAAGAACCAGAACTAGAACCAGGTTAACTTGGCTGAACCCTCACCCACGTGGTGCTTTAATTGAGGCAACACCACCACCAAATTCTGCTCTTTCACCTTCACCAAAAGATGGATCCTTCAAGGTGCTTGCGCTTCCAGAGACTCGTGCTGATGATCTTCAAGCCGAGGCCAGAGCCTTGGCTCGTGCTGCCAATGCTTCTGTCTACACCCCTCAGCTTGTGGCCTCCAAATACGGCTCCCAACCCCTCAAGGTTCTTCTCTCTCTTCCAAAGTTTAAGTCTTTTCGGGGATATCAATTGTGGGTGTCAATGGTTTTTGTGAAATGATGAGACCCTTTTTGTGGTAGGTGGTGGGGAGGGCCCTTAAGGTTCTGAGTGCGTTGGGTTTGTTCGGGTTGAAGCTGTTGGTGGACCAGAGAAGTGGGGTGCTTGATCAGAATAAAAGGATTCGTGCAATTGAGCTTAGGGACTCATTCACAAGGCTGGGACCAACTTTTGTCAAATTGGGTCAGGGGTTGTCTACTAGACCTGATATCTGCCCACCTGAGTATCTGGAGGAGCTCTCTCAACTTCAAGTATTGAATTTATCTTCGCTTTTAGCTCTTTATTTGATTGGTGTAGTGTGTAGTGTAGCCTGTTAGATTTTTCTAGTGAGCATGTTCTAGGGGTTGATTAACTTGGCATTGAGTGAGAATTTTGAATGGTTAAGTAATTATGAGTCTGTTTGAGTAAACTTCTCTAGAATTACTTAATATTGATGATGACAACAACAAAGCCTTATCCTACTAGATGAGGTTGACTACATGGAACACATGACACTATTTGGTTTGGTTAAAAGCCAAAGTAAAGGATTAAAGGAATATTATGTTTTTTTATACCCGTTCCCAAGAAGGAGGACGCTTGTGTTAAGCCCTTGAACTAATGTAAAAGTAGCTGATATACCAAACATGGATCGCTCACAATGTTGATGATATCTTGTGAAAATTTATTCACTTATGTAGTGGAGTCACGAGTGAGTTGTGGCCTTTATATGTCTGTTTGTGCTGTGAAGATGTTTATGAATTAATTGGTTACTTAGGTTGCCTTGATTATTTCTGTGCTTTATCAGGACGGATTGCCAACGTTTCCTGATGATCAGGCCTTTGCATGCATAGAGAGGGAATTAGGACAATCTCTTGACTCTATTTTCTCTACTATATCTCCAACGGCTGTAGCGGCAGCTAGTTTGGGTCAAGTTTACAAGGCCCAATTGAAGTACTCTGGGAAACTTGTTGCTGTTAAGGTGCAACGCCCGGACATTGAAGAAGCTATAGGATTGGACTTTTACCTAATTAGAGGTCTAGGGTTTCTAATAAATAAATATGTGGACTTTATCACCAGTGATGTTGTTGCGCTTATTGATGAATTTGCACGAAGGGTCTTTCAAGAGCTCAACTATGTGCAGGTTAGTTCTTCTGCCAATACCCAAATTTTTATTTTAGTTGCAGCTAAGCATGCATGATTCATCAATTACCAAGTTTCACATCTTGGTTTTTCTTTAAGAAAAAATAACAATGGTTTCCGTTATCATTTATAATTCAAATCTTCCCTAGGGGGTGATGTATGTGTTGCATATTAACAGATAGAGATACATATTTGTAAATTGTGTAAGATATTTGTTGGGATTGAATGTTAATTTTTACAGGTTTCTGCA